CTAGCTTGACTACACTGGCAAAGAGTTGCACTTTGCAAACTTCCACTCTTTTCAGTGGGGCTTAAAAGTGCAACACATGTGCTGTCAGGCCTATCAGTGGGCTTAAATTATGGACTCCTTGGTGAACAAGCACAGAGCCCCTTACATCCACAGACCACATTTTTAAAGTATACTTGTAAAGCTGATGAGGTATGTATAAGAACTGCAGTATTCACAATGCAGGTCAGCAGATCTCCCTTGAGAAAAAGAAGGTGTGAACATAACACAAACTGAGCTACTCATCATTGCCTACACCCTCGCAGTTGCTGGCAAAGGCTCCACCTTTTGCTGGACAGAGATAGTCTTAATCAACAGCAAAAATTCATTTAGAGCATAACAGAAGACACGTCATGAATGATATAAGGGAACAACTTGAATTAGTTCAAAAACATAAAACTACACATTATTTGGCAACTTCTTACGTTTTGAATGTGTAAGGCATTTAGTTTGCAAAGCGGAAGATTGTTCCTTTCACACTAGTTACGTACACAGACACATGCTTGTGCTCACAGGGTATTAACATATCAGGTTCTCACAGCTTACTCTAAAGCTATTTTGGATTGCCCAAAGCATAAGCATTCTTAATCAGCAGCTCTCTTTATTATGGCATCTTTGAAATAAGGAGTATTTTCTTTAGACTCCTAGAATGCCTTTCCTTGGATCACTCCTACTCTGGGGCAAGGTCCTTGCTCCAGAAGAATGATTCTGTTTACTTTATCCAGAAAAATAACCCTTTCATGTATCATTCCATAACTTTTCTATCAATTCCAGTTTTACACCCACAGTTCATATCAGGTCTGTTTTTCAATTCAGGGAAAGAATTTCCGAATTAATTTGTTCTTCTCCCTCCAAAACCCCTCATGATAATTCTGGCAGAAAATTACATGGCTATGACCCAACATGTTTACATAACTGGCCAGTCATCCAAATATTTTCTAGAGGATTTTGCAGAAGTCTTCACCCTGAAGGCTATTTTTTTTTAATAACTGAATAGCTACAAGATTTTAGGACCCTATAGTAAATTTAAAGCAATTTAAACTGAAGACACAATATGTGGTATGTACTTTACCACATGCTATCATTATGTATTCCCTATCACTAAGATTCAGTGTTTCAGTAGCTCCCAGATGTGTGGAGAACCACATAAATGAATTGGCTACTTGTAGCCTGAACTAACATGCAGTTGGAATACACACTGATTTTATCCTAGGAGAGTCTTCAGTGCAAGCCACACACTTTGCAGGGTTGAGCATCCATGTTTATTTCAGACAAACCTCATGTTAGCCAGGACCTGACCTGTTAGGCTCAGGATCTATTCCTTGCTGCTAGACTAGCTGGCAAAGCTGCAGTAACTTTCTCACTGTGATGCTTGTCCTGCCCCAAATAAAAGTCCTCACTGAACTTTCACATATACTTTATACAGTACATCCCTCAGCACAAAATACTGAAGCACACAACTGCTCCATCAAGTAAGAAGTATCTTTGATGATACATCAGAACAGCAAAACACCTGCTGAAGTGATCAAAATCTATACAACTTTCCAGTGGAAAAATATAACAGAAAGCTGTGCATTGTTTTAAAATTGAAAGCTCAACAGGATATTTCAGCTTTGGTGTTTTGTGAATTTAATTTCATTTTCACACCAGCAGGCACCAGTTATGTCATAAGTGCATTTAGTGTAGAGTTTCCATAGACAATGATTTGCATTTCTTATGCACAAGCTACAGCTTATGAGGTTAAATGGATCCAATTCTGACTGTTCTGCACGCATACATCTGTTGGAGGCTGAGCTCCTGAGTGACCCCTTTCCAAAGGCAGGGAAGAGCTGGATAATGAGTGTGGGGTATGCACACCAAGCCAAGCTCACTTTAAAGCCCAGAGCCTTCAAAAGATTCAACTGGACGGAAATACAGGCATGCCTAAAGTACCAATTAAATATGAAAGATCATGTAAAAGTCAACCTTAAGTCAATTTATCCTTTAATTGAATTCAGCAATGAATCAAAATAGATGAGGTTCTCTAAAACTTAAGTTCAAGGCTCCTTCACAGAACTTCACACTACAGTAAATTGTCATAGCACTCAAAAAAAACCCCAAAAATCCCAGAAACTTAAATTAAGGCAGTATCTCAGACTGTTTTTTAAAACTTCTGTGCCCAGAATACCAGTGGAGACTGAATTCCCAAGTTCTGAATGGGAGTAGGTTGTTTCAGTTTCCCCACACTATCTCTTGAACACACCTGCTCTCCTTCAAGGACTGTAAATATACTGCAGTCAAAAGCCTTTCCCAGGGAAACACTAACAATCAAGTGCTGATTTCCTGAACAGTGACTTCTGTTAATGCCTATAAAGAGCTCTGGGATAAAGTCAGCCTGTACCCAGCTGCCTGGTGATAAGGGCAGTCACTTCCAGCCTGAAAGAATGCTAGCAATGCTGTTTTACACCAGTAGTTTTAGGGAAGAGACCTTGTTTTGAGAAGGCACATTCCTAAATATCTTAGTCCAAACAAGGCTTAATCTAAGTTGAAAGCTGGTTTTGCACAAGTGAAAACTTGAGCTTAAGAATTTTAGAACGCTGTTTGCACAGTTGTTTCTGGTTGTCACGTAGATTTACTTTAACTGGATAACATCACAGCATCCTACAAAGACTAAACTCTAACGCTACTTGTTTCCTATGTTAGCATCTTTGTTTTACAGAGGATTAAATTCCACCTTCTTAAGGGACACCCAGAGGAGGCAAACTCAATTCTGTGACCTCGCCCCAAGGAACATATTGTCTACGTCTTGTCAGCAGACAACACCCACATGAAAACCTTTAAATTTGAAACTGTTGCCCAGTAATGCACTGACCAGTGATTCATCGAAAAGGAGTTCTGTTTTGTACAAAAATTGGCCCATAATAGACACATTTCCCTAGAAATATTCCCGCACCATTACACATTTAGTAAGAATGCAGCCCACTGCACCCTCCCCTCCAACACAAAGGGATCTATTATTTCAATCTGCTGCCACCACACTTGCCATAATGCCTGTATCTGCATTCCACGGTGAATCCCATAGAAACCATTAATACCCTTCAGCCAAGCGAGCAGATGGCCCCCTTTCACTTTTATTGGATCGGAAAGTGATTCCACGTTGGGGTGTTTTTTGTAAAACGGGCTAGACTTGGATAAAGCAGGACAATAGTTTGCGTCCCCACCCCTCAGAGGCAGCACCCCTCTAAAGAAAACACGGAGGGCTTGCGTGAGAACTGACGGAACCTCTTTGTGCAAGGAAAGCAAACTCCGGCACTCCCACCCTCCGCCCCAGGCACGGCCACCACCGCCTCGGGCCCCTCCCTCTTCCACGACCGCTAACCTGTCTGAAGGACTGCAGGGTGTTCTCGGCCTCCTCCCTCTGAAGCATCTCCTCTTGCAACCTGGAAGGGGCAAGACGGCGGTGAAGAAGGAGCGGGGGTCCCCCACATCCCCCCGCCCAGCCTCCCGCCCGCCCGGTACCGCTCGGGATGCTCAGGGGCTGCCTCCGCGCCAAGGGACAGAGCAGCGGGGAGGCGGCGGGAGGCGGCGGCAGCCCGAACCCGTCTTCCCCAGGCACTCACTTCTCCCGCAGCCGCATGATGTCGTCGGCGAGGTTGTCCCGCTCCACTTCCACCCGTGCCTTATCGTTGGTGAGCTGGTCCACCTGTCGCCGCAGCTCCCGCATCTCCTCCTCGTAGAGGTCGCCCAGGCGGGACGTGCCCTTGCCCTTGAGCTGCTCCAGCTCGGCCAGCAAGATCTTGTTTTGCTGCTCCAGAAAGCGCACCTTGTCGATGTAGTTGGCGAAGCGGTCATTAAGCTCCTGCAGCTCAACCTTCTCGTTGGTGCGGTTCGCCTTGAACTCCGTGTTGATGGCGTCGGCCAGGGAGAAGTCCACGGAGTCGTGGAGCCGCATGGGCGGCATGCTGCTCCGCAGCCGCACCGACGTCGTCTTGGTGGTGTACACGCCGCCGGGCGAGGCGGACACGTACCGGGCGCTGCTGGGCCGCAGGGCGCTGCCCAGCGAGTACCGGCTGCTGGACGTGATGTACCGGGTGCCGGTGCTGGGGCGGCTGCCCCCGCCGAACATGCGCCGGTACGAGGAGTTTTTCGTGCTGATGCTCATAGCGGCGGCGGAGCGGGCTTTGTAATCCGGGAGCGGAGCGGGACGACCGGGGTGCGCGGCGAAGAAGGGCGGTGGCCGCGGCCAGGGCCCCTTCTTATGGACGCCGCGACCCCGCCCCGCCGGGCCCGCCCCGCTCCGCCCCGCCCGCGGGGAAGGGGGGCGGCCGCGGACACAAAGGCGGCGAGCGGGGCGGCTCGGCCGGAGGGGCGCGGGGGGTGGGCGGCAGCTTGTGTCGTGGCTGGGTCCCGGGAGGCTGGCGGGTTTCCTGCGGGACGTGGCAGGGCGGTGTCCCACACAGCGGCCGCGGGGAACCCCGGCACGGCGCGCCCGGGGGGGACGCGGTGCCAGCAGCGGCATCTTCGTCGCGGAAACGGGCGCTGGATTTCCCCCCTCATCTCCTTGTTCCCCTCCACTGAGCGTGGTGGCTGCAAGAAGGGGTTGGCAAGTTTAATGGCACAGGCCTGGCAATATACTCCGAATAACCCACTAAAACCCCTCTATAGGTAGGATGTATATTTAGCTAGGTATCTTTCTAAGAGCTTTCTGAAAGAGTAAGATCAGAGGAAAATTATGCTATTACCAAGGGCTGCCAAGTGTTTAAAATAAACAACCAGAAAAATAATGTGTGTGTTTTCTTTAGCTGCCTCCCAGGATAGCAATCTCAGCTCCTGTGATTAAGACGTGAACATTACATGTTAAATATGTTTTCCTTGTAGCTGGGTAAGCAGTTACATGCCTAAGGCTTAATTCTGCCATTTTTGCAACAATGATCCCAGGACTAATTTAGTTGGGCTCTTTTTGGTGGTGGTTTGTTGAGGTTTTTTTGTTTGTTTGGTTTGTTTTGGTTTTTGTTTTGTTTTGGTTTTTTATTTGGTTTTTTTTGTGTGTGGACAGTACATTATTGAAATTGCTGTATTCAGGATCTTGCTCCTGAAAAATAACTAGGATAGAATCAGACTAGATTTTAACAGAGGTTTGTTTCTCCACTGTTGTGCCCAACAGACTTTGCTATTCATTTTGGTAGGTGCATGGTCAGAGTCTTAGGAGAGCACCTGGCAAAATTATAATTATTCATTAACTATGATCTGCAAATATGTATGTAAAATAAAAGGCCAGACAAAAATCCCAGTGTTTTCAGAGCAATTTTACTATCAAAATTGGACTACCAGCAATGGAAAAGAGTGATGTAGGTAGTACAGGTCAATAGGAATGACATAAAAGTTAACAGATAAAAACTTTTAATAGCAGATTGTTTCAGCATGGATGCAGAGATTGCTTAAGGAAGATGACAGAATCTCTGCCATTTAGAAAACTTGAAACTTGAGTGGCCAAAGCACGACTCACATTCTGAGATTTTGCACTGATGCATCAGGTAAGGGGCATCTTTTTTCTCTCTGCTATGGGAAGTGTGTGATACATTGCAGACATTATCTGTAATGTATTGCTTCAGCACTTAGGGAATGCAAAACTACCATTGATTTTTGTTTCTTTTTAGCTTGCAGTCCTGCAGGAAGAAATAGCTTCACTGGAAGTTCTGATAAACCTGAACATGAACAGTGGGTAGAGAAAAAGGTAATCTTCACACCCCAATTCACACTAGTCAACTACTGTTGACTTCAGGTAATGTACTTTACAAGGAAGGATGTGAACCTATGTATTTTATTAAAGATCTTGGTTTTTTGAAGGAAATTCTGCTCTGCTTTCATTCTGTTGGCAACCAGAAGTGCAGAAATGCAGTTTGTATCTAAATGTAAGTCCTTGAGGTTTTAATTTCTTTTGTTTACTGAAGCTTAGTCAAGCAAAAGAAGCTGACAAGGTTGAGCTACTGAAGTGCTTGCAGTATAAGTCCCGGGCTGCAGCTCATTCCATTCACCCACTGAATAAGAGGCAGAGGTCACGCAGCATTCCTGAGGCTAAGGGTTCCCAAAGCCCAGCCTGGACGCTGTTTGCTGCCCAACCCTCTCAGAGCTCTATTTAAGCCATCAAGTTTGAGCTGTAAGCTGTGAGAGCCCTGGCACAGAAGTACATACTTGCAGGCAAAAAGCAAAACAGCACATAACCAACAGTCTCATGGATTAAAGATGCTGTACTCAGAAATACCAATAGCTTTGCTAGACTGTTTTTTAAAGGTGTACTGGTGCCCCATCTGTTTTTCCTAACAGAGCACAACTTATACTTCACAAAACCTTCAATGGCACACATATGCAAGAATCATCCTCATTCAGAAAATGTTTTGCCTCTAAAATCCAAGGTATTTGTTTTAGTAAATATGACCCACCCACTTCATGTTTCAAGTGTAATTTCCATATGTTTATGTCACTGCTGCATATGTGCTTTTGGCCACCTACCTCATTTCTGTGTCTCACTATGAAATGTTCAGATATTGTTGGCTGTTGGGACTACAGTAAACCTTTAAGTGCCTTTTGCTGGTTGGCATTTACACAGATGTACAAATGGAAGAAGCTGTTAGTTTCTTGTAAGCTGTAATAAATTTAATGCACATTTGCATTACAAACTCTCTAGGGGATTAAAACATGTTCCCTTGAAATGCGAAAAGATCTCTTCTGTCCTTCTCAGAACAGACTCTGTCTCAATGTAGCCATAAACATCACTGAGAGTGTACTTTGAATGGAAATGAAATCACAGTAATGTCTAGTTTCATGGGAAATGCTATGGAATCTCAGAGGCAGTGGCTGATGGAGATCTTGACCACTTCTGACATGAAGAACAGACAGCTAAGAGCATCACTCAACACCACATTGGGGATTATTCATAAACTATTGGCTGTCATCTGTGCTGTTTACTGCAATGCCTTCCCTTGCAATTCCAGTGCACAGTCATGCCCTGGACCAACCCAAAGCATCACCTCTACAGAAGTAGATCAGAGCTAAGCCAATGGCACTCTTGAAAAATCAAACAGGTATTTTTATCAAAAGAGTTTCAGTTCACACTGAAATTTTCTTTTATGCCTTTTTTTTGAGGCCTTTTTTCCCCCCCACATAATTATGTATTCGTTTGCTGCCAAGAATGAAGTACGGAATCAAGTCCTAGATATTTAGCAAAAAGGCACCTGTACTGTGTGTAACTATCATTAATGGGGAAAGTGGATATGCATAGAGAGAAGGTACGGGTACCTGAATGGCTTTGTACTGCATATCAGTTGTACTAAAAACGAAAAAGTCCATATGACAGAATTTCTATTATTTCCTTTCAAAAATATCTGTTGGTCTGAAAACATCACTGAAAAGACTGGCATTCACTTATTTTTAAGTTTTTTAAATTTACCATTTAATTTAAACAGTAAGAAGTGAAAACAATTTAGTCCAAATATTGAATCTGCTTTCCAGTTACATAAATCTTGACTAAAAAGATGTGAATGCTTTTCTTAATCAGATTTATGCCCTTTTTCTAAAGTTTCTGCTTCCAGGATGTGTAGAAAGACACATAAATATTAAATACCGATGAAAAAACATCCTGCCATGCAAATACAATATTTTTTGTGTCAGCACCATACAGCATCCGTAAGCCCAGGCATGCACGGGGCTGTAGAGGCATTCCTTCATGCATCCCCTGCACCATGGCTATTAAACAAACTCTGGGCTATAGGGACACATTTTAACATGAGGAAATAAAAGACCCTTAACACCATACAGACAATTGAACAGGAGGAATACTCTGTAGTGCTCAGCCAGAGTAAGTGCTTGGCCTATCACTTGAGTGACTGCTGTGGCTTTCATTGTCTAAGAAAACCTTCAACCTGACCTAAAAACACGGAGACTGCTATGATTTTTGAAACAGAAAGATCCCTGTTTAAAAAAAAAAAATAAAAAAAATGGGGGGGATTCTGGCTCTAATCTTCAGCTGGAATAAGTCCCTCCCTTTAGCTGAGAGCCAAGTGTAAGGAGGAGCCCCCAAGAAAGGCCAGTGCATCCAGGGAAGTGATGGTTTTTCTGAACTCTGATAACCCATCTCCCTGCATTCTGACTAGGAGAAGCTGATTTGGATTTCTGAATATCACCAGGCTGCAGAACATCTAAATGTTCCAGCATTGAATTCTCCCCGTGTGAGTAACCGCCTTGACTAATTTTTGTCTTGATAAAGAAACTGGCAAATTCTTTTATGAAATTTTTTTAAATTATGTTGCCTATTGTCATTACCAGTGCTGCAAAGCATATCAAATTAGTATGACTAGCTGCTGATTTTTTCAAGTAAATGACTAGGCTCTATACTCAAAACTAAACAAGTTTGTCTAAAATATTCTATTTTAATGTATAATGAACTATATGAAACTGGCAGGGGTTTCATAATTAAGGAAGTGATTTGGACATGAGTCAAGCTACCCCATCGCACAATTTACATTTCCAAAGAATTATTATTGTCATGCATTAGGTGCCTCTCTACTGTGGTTTATAATTGCCAGAATAGGAAGTTTTCTGTATCAAAATATGACATTTCTGTACCAAATGACTTGATCATTTTCAAAGCCACTACAGTCCTGTGTCCTGAGGTTGTCTCAAACACCATGCACACCTCTAGGAACAAGAAGAGAAGAGAAGTTTTTAAGCTCTATGACAAGTATAGTAATTTATATAATCCATCCCTTAAAAAAAAAAAATCAAATTAAGAATGACACCCTGTCTCATTTCATTTAACAGCAATAGCACTGACTGCTGAATGGCAGCAATAATTAGCAATGACTGGGACATACAGAATGAGGTTTTCCAAACTGAGAAGAGGTTTGGCATAGTTTAAGGCTCAATGCTCAACCTGAAACTCTTTAAGCAGAACCAATTTGCAGAATACACAAAGTGTCTCAGTCTTGATTTTGGGTGCCCCAAAATAGATAATTTGAAATTTTATCTCTTCACATCCTTGTTTCATGAAATTTGTATATTATCAAAGACCAATAAATTGTTCAAGGATCATGATAGGCACTTTATAAGGATCATAAATATCAGATAAAATATTTGATTTAAGCAGCTCAAGTTTTCAGGAGAATCTATGCAAAATGCATAGTGTATGTAGCTTCTTTCTGTCCTTTGCCACACTGCTGACCATCTTGGCCTTGCTCAGCACTAGATTGCAATTCCTGCAGCAAACTGTTGATCCAAGTAGAAGTCAACAGCGTGGATGAACAGTTACTTGTCACATTACAATGGGAAGCCCTGTCTTGGTTCACTGTTTTAAATTTTGAGATTGCAAACTTTCAAGGATGAGCCATCCATCCATCCATCCATCCATCCATCCATCCATCCATCCATCCATCCATCCATCCATCCATCCATCCATTCTTTCCTTGGGAAAATCTGAAAGAAGTGATTCTTGTAAGCCATTAACAAACCCTGTCAGTTAAACATTTACTACTACTTTTTGGCCAAGCTTTTTCAACTCAAACTGCTTAAAGAGCTCCTCTAGCCAAAAAACAATTTAATCTGAGTAGTGATTTCATTCTTTTCTCTCCCCCAGTTCCATCACTTACACAAAGCACAAATAGGATAATGTTTTCTTGCCATGATATACCAGGAAATGGTATTTCTGAGGAAGAGGCAGGACACAGCAATGGAATCATTAATTGCGTGCAGCAATTGTTCCATTCTTCCTTTGAGATGCCCAGGACAAGCAGAACAGTACTAGCTCCTTGAAGGCCAAGTTTTTAGTGGATTCCTCAGTCCAAGTGCTTGTGCCAAATCCTTGGTTCCAATGAGACTCATAAACTGAGCATACATTGTGTTAGCCATTCTGGGATTAATTGGTTCCTTTCCAAAGGAAGAGGCGGCGCTGCACACACCCCAGAGCTGAGAAGACTGAGTTTTTACATGCCAGCTCTATGCCTAATTTTCAAGCAGTTGGAATTAAGGAGGGAAGATGATCCAGATTTAAGATGCATAATATATTGTGGGCCATAAGGAATTGAGTGGAAAATTAGTTAAATACAGAAGAGAAGATGCATATAGATGGAGAAGGAAGAGAGCAAATGTCTGGAAGAGCAGAGGTGTCCATACCTTTTCAGGTGGAACAGTGTTCTGTTTCCCAATACAAAGACAATTCACTGTCTACCTGAAATTTTCCTTGGGAATTTGGTCTTGTATATGGTCCAATACACATACTAGGTGGGAGAGAGCATGTGTAGGATGACAGGAGAAGGACCTGACAACTATTCAGGAGTTTTGTAGATGTTTCAGTTTTACTAACTCAGACTTTTGTCAGTGTTTGTAGCTGTTTATTTGACATGAATCAGGCATTTTTATAAACTCCTGACAGAATTTACCAGGCCTACCATGTAAGTCCAGCACATCAGGATGAAAGAATATACAGATCAGATGTCAGGATATTTCAAAGGGAGAGGCATGGTTTTCCCTGAATATGGTAATGCCACTGACCTGCAGTTGTATTCTGAAAACAATCAACTTCTGTCATATCAATAGGAATCTTGAGAGCAATCCCACTGATGAAGGACACAATACTACTGTACTACAATAGTATAGATAATGCCTGGACTGTCAATGACAATGTGAATTATACACAGTTTAGGTTAATTAATTACTTGGGTTTAATATTGTTAGGTTTTGAACAACAGCGTCCTATACTGTTGAAGATGAGTGCTACATCTGATGTGGCACCAAAACTGTGATAAAATCATCCTCAGGGACTTCATCTGACACGCAGGGTTCCCAATGGACAATTCCAACAATCTCCCATTGTATTTTTCTGGTGAATTATGTGAAACATATTTGCTGGAGTTTTAAGTAAGACCAACTCCCTACTGCTAAATTTTGACACTGCTAGTTGGTTCTGGCATATGTATTGTGCAAGAAGATTTCTCTTCTTCAGAAAGAACTATTTTAGGCTTTCTTGGTCCTTTTAGGCTAGGCTTTTTGGGGCTTCTCTCTCCAAGCTGTTTTGGTAAAAATAACATTTTAATTTCATAGTCCTTTTTCTAAAAAATGTTTGTTTCAACTTTAGAAAAATCTAAAGCTTTTGTTCTTAGTTGAGGCAAAGGGGAAAGGGGAACGGGCCCCAAAAGCAGCCAAAAAGGACACTGTTACATTTTTCCTAGATTTTTTTTCACAATAACTTTTCAATTTATCTTTTATTTCAGTTTATCCTTATGAAATCTAACAACTTCTTCAACTCTGTTTTTTCTTATAAACTACTTTCCAAGAGACTTTTGGGCAAATGTTATATTGGTGTGTTTGACAGATATCTGTAAACATTTCCAATGCCAGAAAGAGAATATTTTAAGTACAGTAACTTTTGCAATTGCAATCCATAACTGATATCAAATCGCTTTAAAGTAACTCATCAAATAGCATCAAAGTAACTCATTTGCAAATGCTAGCAATAGAACCAGGGTGGAAGACATCTCTGTGCTGCCTAGGCACCAAGTGCTCAGCTTCTTGGGCAGATTTTATAGTACTCACTGTATAGAATTTGGTTTAATCTAATCTGAAGGTCGCTCAGCAGGGCCACAGTTACAGCTCTGCTATGGCTGCATTAAAGGTTCTCTTTCTCTTC